GCCACACTCTAGGAGGCTGATTGCCACACTCTAGGAGACTGACTGCCACACTCTAGAAGGCTGACCGCCACACTCTAGAAGGCTGACCGCCACACTCTAGGAGGCTGACTGCAACACTCTAGGAGGCTGATCGCCACACTCTAGGAGACCGACTGCCACAACTAGGAGACTGACCATCACTCTCTAGGTGGCTGACCGCCACACTCTCGGAGACTGACTGCCACACTCTAGGAGGCTGACTGCCACACTCTAGGAGGCTGACTGCCACACTCTAGGATACTGTCTGTCTATCTATAGAATGTACTGTCACATGAACTTATACTAGAGAGTCAATTGTCATTCTAACACACCCTGGACATGTCTACTAGAGAGCCATGCATCATATCACACCCTGGGAGTGTTCTATGACTACAAAGATCTACTAGAGAGCCATGTGTCTTTCTATCACACCCTGGGAGCATTATGTCTACCTAAGGTCTACTCAGAAACCCTGGAAAAGACATTCCATCCTACACTTGGAGCCAGACTAACAGAGCCACATGTCATTGTGTCACACCCTGGGAGTGTTCTATAACTTTTAAAGGTCTCTGAGAGCCACATGTCATTGTGTCACACCCTGGGGGTGTTCTATAACTTTTAAAGGTCTCTGAGAGCCACATGTCATTCTGTCACACCCTGGGAGTGTTCCATGACTTCTAAAGGTCTTCTCTGAGAGTCACATGTCATTGTGTCACACCCTGGGAGTGTTCTACGACTTTTAAAGGTCTTCTCTGAGAGTCACATGTCATTGTGTCACACCCTGGGAGTGTTCTATGACTTTTAAAGGTCTTCTCTAAGAGCCACATGTCATTGTGTCACACCCTGGGAGTGTTCTATAACTTCTAAAGGTCTTCTCTGAGAGTCACATGTCATTGTGTCACACCCTGGGAGTGTTCTATGACTTCTAAAGGTCTTCTCTGAGAGCCACATGTCATTGTGTCACACCCTGGGAGTGTTCTATGACTTCTAAAGGTCTCTGAGAGCCACATGTCATTCTGTCACACCCTGGGAGCTGTGTTAGTTGAGCTATGTGTGTGAGGTAGGCCCATGCTTGGCTTCATGGCCAGGTTGGAGGTAGAGGAGGTGGCAGACGCTGGTCTCCACACATCGTCAGTATGGTCCATGCTTGAGGTTGTCGACTTGAACATCTGAAACAGTAGTTCGTCACTACTTAGCGTACCACCCGTTTTGCTGTGACCATCTTCCTCTAAATCAGAGTCCATGTCACAGCTATTGTTAATTTTAGTGTCATTTTTGACAATGGTGTTGTCACCCATAGGTGACACAGCAGAGTTGTCTCCCTTTGTTGACACAGTTGTGTTACCACCACCTGGGGGCCACTCTCTCGGGTAAAGTGTCTGGGAGTCTGAGGTAGACTTATGTGAGTTTTTGTCCATTTCCCCAGAAGTTGAACAAGCCCTGCCAGGATAAGGAGAATTATCTGTTGTGCTGCTTGGCGAACCAGTTTGGCTGCGGCTAATACTTTCGAGGGCGGGATCATAGTGAAGCTCTGTCGAAATGTTGTTGTCCTGGTTACTAGTCTGATCAGTGCCAGGCTCCACAAAAAGATTATTTCTGGGGTGAAAGGTGAGTTGGTTTCCATCCGTGTTACCCAGTAATAAGGCTGTCTGTTCTGGCATCTACAAAGAGAGAAAACTCTCATTTGACAACAATTCTGGCATCTACAAAGAGAGACAACTCTAAATAACAAACAATCTGGCATCTACAAAGGGAGACAATGCTAAATAACAAACATTCTGGCATCTACAAAGAGAGACAACTCTAAATAATAAACAATCTGGCATCTACAAAGGGAGACAACTCTAAATTAAAAAAGATTCTGGCATCAGAAAGAGAGACAAATCTAAATAACAAACAATCTGGCATCTACAAAGGGAGACAACTCTTAATAAACAAACATTCTGACATATAAATGGGAAACAACTCTAAATAAACAAACATTAGGGTATCTGCAAAGGGAGTCAACACTAAATTGAAAAACATTCTGGCATCTACAAAGGCAGACAACTACATTCATTTAAAGATTTGAACAAGCTGCTCCAGATGTCAGGAGTTACCTGCCCCTACTAACGTTGTGTTTAAACGCTCACAATGTTTCAGAACTCGTGATCTGACCACGGATTGAACAGAACTGCTAACCTACCGGTGTGGTGCCGTTCGGTTGTTTATGAGGTTCAGCCACAACAGCTCGTAGTCGCCCATTACCGTTACTGCCGCAGATGTAGATCACACGCCCATTTCCTGAGAACAAGGTCCCATTTCCTGGCCCCTGGAACACAAAAACCACATCAGAGCAATTAACACTACAACAACATACACATAAATCTCCAAAATAAGCTGCAGCTCATTTTCGATTTAAGTAAGAAATTCAAGGCTTATTATCGAAGCTGGACTGTTTTCAAGGCCTTCCTATTTTCGAAGACATTTAGACTGTAAGACATGTACGGCCTATTTTCAAGGCTGGCTTTATTAATTCATGAAGCCTTTTAAATGGTTCATGCCATAGTTACTTATTGCTAAAAATATTAAAAATTATTAACTATAAAAATATGTGTAAAGCAAATAACATTTTTTTTGATAAAAACATTGTTGATATGCAAATTCCACCATCTTGACAAGACGGGTTCAAGGCAGGCCTTGTTTTGAAGCCGGCTTGCTTTCAAGACGTATTTGGAAGAAACTTAGAGGCATATTCTCAAAGCTGGCCTATTTTTAAAAAATAGGCTTATCATCAAGATTTTTCGGGTATTTCATATCATGGCATGGGGTGAGGAAAAACCTACAAATAATTCTATCTGTAATATGTCTCAAAACAAGAGGCCCAGAGGGCCTGTATTGCTCACCTGGATATCTAAGCAATCATGGCAAAATATTCTCCATATGAGATCCAAGGGAATATGCCAGACCTCAAGGCCAATCCTTGTAGCATATCTGTATTTGATTTTTTTATGCCCAGCAATTTTATGTATGGTTATTGGGTGGGGATATCAACTGTTTCCAAGCTGTGACTCAGAAACTAGGTCCCTAGGGTTGTGGCCAGACCACAGTATTGATTCTAATATCATGACTGCATTTGTCTCTTTTTGCCCAGCATTTGTATATATAGTTTTGGGGTGGGGATCTTAACCGTTTCAAAGTTATGACCCAGGGGTTAAGTCTCCAAGGGTGGGGCCAGACCTTAGGGCCATCCTGGAAGCAAATGTACATTCCTCTCGTTATACTCAGCAATTGTATAAATGGTAATATGGTGGGGATCTCAACCATTTCCAAGTAAAAAAATAAATTTTGGCCCCACCCCTTAGCCCGGGGAGTCAGACCCACCATTTGTACAATTTTGAATTCCTGCCTCCCATGAATGCTTCCGACCAAATATGATCAATATCCATGGTATAGTTTTACGGAAGAAGTCCTTAATAGCAATATAGCCAAATTGCCCCCTTTTGGCCCAGTCCTCAGCCCCCTGGGGGGTCAGCCCCACCATTTGTACAATTTTGAATCCCCACCACCTAGAGATGCTTCAAGTCAAATATGGTTGATATCTATCTCTTAGTTCCAGAGAGGAAACCGCTTAAAGTAGTATAGCTAAATAACCCTTTTTGGCCCCGCCCCTCAGCCCCCACGGGGGTCAGTCCCACCATTTGTACAATTTTGAATCCCTGCCTCCCATGAATGCTTTTGATTAAATATTATTGATATCCAGTGCATAGTTCTACAGAAGAAGTCGTTTGTAGCAATATAGTCGAAATGCCCCCTTTTGGCCCCGCTCCTCAGCCCCCTGGGGGGTCAGCCCCGCCATTTGTACAATTTTGAATCCACACCACCTAGGGATGCTTCCAATTAAATATGGTTGATATCCATCTCTTAGTTCCAGAGAAGAAGTCGCTTAAAGCAATATAGCCGAATCGCCCCCTTATTGCCCCACCCCTCAGCCCCCTGGGGGGTCAGCCCCATCATTTGTACAATTTTGAATCCCCACCACCTAGGTATGCTTCCAGTCAAATTTAGTTAAATTCCAATAAGTGGTTAAGAAGAAGAAGTCATTTAAAGAAATTGTTGACGGACGGATGACGGACGGACGACAGACGACAGACGGACGACAGACGACGGACGCCACGGTATGGCATAAGCTCACCTTAGTCCTTTGGACCCGGTGAGCTAACAATCAGTTAGCATCACTGTTAGTAACATCACTTCGGTAACAATGACGTCAGATAACAATCACTTCGGTAACAATGATGTCAGATAACAATCGCTTCGGTAACAATGACGTCAGTAACATCACTTCGGTAACAATGACGTCAGATAACCATCACCCTTGGTAACAATAACGTCAGATAACAATCGCTTCGGTAACAATGACGTCAGATAACAATCACCCTTGGTAACAATGACGTCAGATAACAATCACCCTTGGTAACAATAACGTCAGATAACAATCGCTTCGGTAACAATGACGTCAGTAACATCACTTCGGTAACAATGACGTCAGATAACAATCACCCTTGGTAACAATAACGTCAGATAACAATCACTTCGGTAACAATGACGTCAGATAACAATCACCCTTGGTAACAATAACGTCAGATAACAATCACTTCGGTAACAATGACGTCAGATAACAATCACCCTTGGTAACAATAACGTCAGATAACAATCACTTCGGTAACAATGACGTCAGATAACAATCACCCTTGGTAACAATAACGTCAGATAACCATCACTTCGGTAACAATGACGTCAGATAACAATCACCCTTGGTAACAATAACGTCAGATAACAATCGCTTCGGTAACAATGACGTCAGTAACATCACTTCGGTAACAATGACGTCAGATAACAATCACCCTTGGTAACAATAACGTCAGATAACAATCGCTTCGGTAACAATGACGTCAGTAACATCACTTTGGTAACAATGACGTCAGATAACAATCACCCTTGGTAACAATAACGTCAGATAACAATCGCTTCGGTAACAATGACGTCAGTAACATCACTTCGGTAACAATGACGTCAGATAACAATCACCCTTGGTAACAATAACGTCAGATAACAATCGCTTCGGTAACAATGACGTCAGTAACATCACTTCGGTAACAATGACGTCAGATAACAATCACCCTTGGTAACAATAACGTCAGATAACAATCGCTTCGGTAACAATGACGTCAGATAACAATCACCCTTGGTAACAATGACGTCAGATAACAATCACCCTTGGTAACAATAACGTCAGATAACAATCACTTCGGTAACAATGACGTCAGATAACAATCACCCTTGGTAACAATAACGTCAGATAACAATCACTTCGGTAACAATGACGTCAGATAACAATCACCCTTGGTAACAATAACGTCAGATAACAATCACTTCGGTAACAATGACGTCAGATAACAATCACCCTTGGTAACAATAACGTCAGATAACAATCACTTCGGTAACAATGACGTCAGATAACAATCACCCTTGGTAACAATAACGTCAGATAACAATCACTTCGGTAACAATGACGTCAGATAACAATCACCCTTGGTAACAATAACGTCAGATAACAATCACTTCGGTAACAATGACGTCAGATAACAATCACCCTTGGTAACAATAACGTCAGATAACAATCACTTCGGTAACAATGACGTCAGATAACAATCACCCTTGGTAACAATAACGTCAGATAACAATCACTTCGGTAACAATGACGTCAGATAACAATCACCCTTGGTAACAATGACGTCAGATAACAATCACTTCGGTAACAATGACGTCAGATAACAATCACCCTTGGTAACAATAACGTCAGATAACAATCACTTCGGTAACAATGACGTCAGATAACAATCACTTCAGGTAAATTACAATGGAAAATGCAGTGATGCCTGAGGTCCTACCTTACTGTCGCTGTGGAGGTTTTCTGGTAACATGGGCGTGCTGACATCATTGGATGTCTTGGGAGGCTGGCCTGTCACTATGTGACCGTTTTGGTGAACATGAGAACTGGCCTGGTGCTGCGCCATACGGTTGTAGTGCCTACAGATAATAGGGATAATAATAATTTCGAGGTTCTTATATACCGCTTTATTACAACTTAGTTCGTAGGTCGTCTCAAAGCGGTTCACAAATTATTATCCGTGGTTATATGGCCTTTGCAAAACCAGTCAATATCTTACTCAACTCCCAGGGGAACATTCAGCGGGTGCTGCCATTTAGGCGCTCACAGCTAGCATTCATCAATTATAGCATTGCCCAACCACGTACTCATTTATAGCTGAGTATACTAGAACAAGCGGAGTAAAGTAATCTTGTTCAGAGATACAACACAGTGCCGTGACATGACTTGTACCGGCAACCCTTTGGTCACAAGCCCGGCATCCAACCACTAGACTACCGTGCCTCAAAATGCCTCAAACTTTCAATTTTTCCCCCAAACATCCATCTTCTTCAATATTTAAACTCTAATTTTTAAGCATGAGTCAATTAATGACATTTTAGAAAACGGATGGTAACTCCTATAGTAATGTAGGTTTTTCACTAACAGTAAAACCTTGTTATACTGCCACCAATGGTCCAGAGACATTTATGTGTTATAAAAGAGGTTTGGCAATAAATGAAGGGAAACGTAGAAAAGAATTCTTGAAAAAGAGAGAGAAATAGGCCTTAAAATATGTTGGCAGTTAATGAGGTGGCAAACGGAACGAGGTTTGATTGTATGTGATTAAGATGTAATTTAGTCCTCAATGATGAATAATTGAATAAAATACTGCACTTTATCTAGTAAAGTCAGAACAACACAAAGATAAAGTAATTATAAGGCAAAGGTGTCAACCTCTGAAACCTCCAATGAGGGAGAAAGTGCGTGAAACACAACTGAAACTGCTTTGCTCTATTTCTCTTCACCATTTTTGGTATCAAAATTTTTAAACTACAAAAAGCATCATTTGATTCAGACACACCTGTTATGATCATTACGCACACCCTGCAGTAACTAGGAGATCATTTGACCACAGGATGTAGATTTTGAGTTTGTGTGAGTTCGGACTTAAATGAGGGAGTTTCGAAGGAGATTGGTACATTTTGGTCACAATGAGGGAGTCTGCCTCCTAATGAGGGAGGGTTGACAGCTATGCTAATGGTTTCGAAATCAAGACAATAAAACACATCAACTCAAACAACATAGCTATGTTTGGGCATATTTCACAACGCCATACCAGAAGTCATGAATGAATAATTAAGATAACTGAAATTTGACGAGGGAAATATAAATGTGACACACTGTTAAACGTTAAAATGTGATATGTCAGAAAATAACACGAGACAAACCTTTGTTTGAGCAGGATGACGAGGATACAGATGACGATGCTGGAGAGACCGACGGAACAGCCGATGATGATTCCGAGTTTCTGGTCCTGAACCACTCCCAAGGGGGATTCCGTACCTATACATCAACACCAATAAATACAATGAACACACGTGTGAGATGTTACAAACCTACATGTTACACAACTCTACGTAATTTATCTGTATATTACACACAAGTACATAACATACCTGTATGTAATGAACCTTTATAATACCTGCATGTGATTCAGCTATATGTAACTTACCTGTACAAGTCACCTGTAGAGTAACACACCTGTATGTAACACACCCGTATGTAACACACCTGTATGTAACACACATGTAGGGTAACACACCTGAATGTAACACATGTGTAGGGTAACAGACCTGTAGGGTAACACATGTGAATGTAACACACCTGTATGTAACACACCTGTAGGGTAGCACACCTGTATGTAACACACATGTATGTAACACACCTGTATGTAACACACCTGTAGGGTAATACACCTGTATGTAACACACCTGTAGGGCAACAGACCTGTATGGAACATTCCTGTATGGATCTAACCTGTATAAGTATGTAACATACAAATGTACCTGCTTTTAACCTCCTGAATGAAGCATGCCTGAATGTTACACATCCTTATGTAACAATAACAAACTTGCATGTAACACACCTCCATGTAATTTACCATTTATGGACGCATATGTATGTAATATACCTGTATGGAACTGACCTGTATATAATAAATATGACAGTGTATGTAACTCACCTGTATATCACATACCTGTACGTTACTTACCTCTAAGTAACATACATGTGTGATATAACTCACCTGTATATCACATACCTGTACATTACCCACCTCTATGTAACATACATGTGTGATATAACTCACCTGAATTTTGGTTTTTGGGAGGGCTGTCAGGACTACAGGCAAGGGAACAGCCCTTTAGGATGACCTGTATGACGGGGGAGGATGGTCCGGAGCCTGCACGTGTACACGCCTTTAACTTAAAATAATAAGTGTCATCCGCCAGATTCCTGATCACAGCAGATGTAGAACTTCCTGTAAAAAAACACCAATATAATAATAATTCCAGTTTCTTATATAGCGCTTTATCACGACCTATTTTGTAGGTCTTCTCAAAGCAGTTCACAAATTATTATCTGTGGCTATAGGGGGGAACATACAGCCAGTGCTGCCATTTCGGCGCTCACAGCTAGCATTCAACAATTCTAGCACTGCCCAGAGCCAGGCGTCCTACCACTAGAGCCTGGCGTCCTACCACTAGAGCCAGGCGTCCTACCGCTAGAACCCGGCGTCCTACCACTAAAGCACAGGGTCCTACCACTAGAGCACAGTGTCCTACCACTAGAGCACAGCGTCCTACCACTAGAGCCAGGCGTCCTACCACTAGAACCCAGCATCCTACCACTAGAGCCAGGCGTCCTACCACTAAAGCCAGGCGTCCTACCACTAGAGCATGGCGTCCTACCACTAGACAACCATGCAACCTAACATAGCTCTAAACAATAGGAATTTTTTATCCAATTTTGAGCCAAGGATTATGGATGATAACATGTTTTATTTCCTTTTCCCTGTCTTTTATTTACAGACTGTTAATGATGTAGAACTTCCAGTCCAAAATATACAAGGCTCTATACAATAGGACGAGCTGAGTGTCGTACAGTGTAGGTCATGTAGTTTTCCCCCTATTTCCTTTTATTACAGACATGCAATGTGGGTAATTCACAATTCTGATTCACTTTACACATTTTTATCTAACTCAAAAGTACTTGAGGCATCATTCCCTACTAAATTATTTTAATATTAACACTGTTTAGTCAGTATATATTTAACCCTTTCACCACCATAGACCATAATAGACTAATCCCCATAAGTGCATGGAAGAGACTACTAAAGTTACTTGGGGGTGAAAGGGTTAACTTCAATCTCGCCGATATAGATTTAGGCTACAAAATCAGTCTCCTATCACGTAGATATATTTTCCAGCTACAGATAATAGCTATATAAACCCTAGAACCTGTGATAGTGAGAACAAACATCGGAATACAACCCACCGTTTTTACTTATTGAAGTCCAGAGGTCGTCACTAAGACTCGGCTCCTTGTTGTAGAGAATCACGTACGACACAATTTCTCCGTTGACTTTGGAAGGAGCCGTCCAACTCAGCCGAACCTTGTCCTTGGCCAGTGACTTGATCTGGATGTTACCGGGGGCAGTCGGAACTGTAACACAGGTAACATAATCACATGATAAGTAATCATTGACGCAGGTAACATAATCACATGATAAGTAATCATTGACTCAGGTAACATAATCACATGATAAGTAATCATTGACGCAGGTAACATAATCACATGATAAGTAATCATTGACGCAGGTAACATAATCACATGATAAGTAATCATTGACGCAGGTAACATAATCACATGATAAGTAATCATTGACGCAGGTAACATAATCACATGATAAGTAATCATTGACGCAGGTAACATAATCACATGATAAGTAATCATTGACGCAGGTAACATAATCACATGATAAGTAATCATTGACGCAGGTAACATAATCACATGATAAGTAATCATTGACGCAGGTAACATAATCACATGATCAGAAAACATTGACACAGGTAACATAATCACATGAACAGAAAACATTGACGCAAGTAACATAATCACATGATCAGAAAATATTGACGCAGGTAACATAATCACATGATCAGAAAACATTGACGCAAGTAACATAATCACATAATCAGAAAACACTGACGCAGGTTTAGCATTTAAACATGACAAAATATATATAAACTTTATTTATTTTACAACAATTATGAAACAAGATATTTCAACTTATATTAAACACTCTTGTTGGCCCGGATGTTAACCCGCGGGTGTGTGTGTGTGTCTTGTTGTGGGAGGAAACCGGAGTACCCGTAGAAAACCCACGTGATCCGGCAGGTGACCCCATACCTTATCACGTCCAATCGGATTATTTTCAGATAATTTGATTTTCGAAATTATCATTATTTCAATAATTTTAACATTTCTCTATTTATACCACTTCCTGCTTAAGGATGTACACCTCTGAGAAGTCAAAAATTTCCTGTATTAAACCCTTTTTAAATAGAGTAAATAGCATAGTAGAAAATGCAAAAAAAAACATATGTCCGTGTGCTCGTTTTTGTGCTATGATCGGTCAAAGATACCAATTTACCACAACATGTGATTTTAGGTGATTTTTGGGGTTTTGACCACTAGCTTGCAGAACAAATTCATACAATTTCTTCCAAGTGTGTTATCAGATATGTATAAATGTTTGTAGAATTGTTGAAAATATTATTTTCTTCTCAATTATGGAAGTAACATTTCTTAATCTCATTAATTTAACTCAAAAAGCCGATTTTAGTTACCCCTACCCCCTATCTTTTAATGAAAAAATACTATTTTTTACCATTTTTTTTACAGATTAAACGCTTGATATAAAAAGTTCTGGTATTTAACTTTTTTTAATATTCAATGAATTCAATGAAAACGTGTTTCTCTTTCTAAAACATCTACAAAAATGGGGGGTCAGTGTGTTTCTTTTTTTGTGCCATTATCATTTGTGTTATTTTTTACTTTTTTCGGGGTTAAAAATCAAAAGTGCTTCAGTTACACTAAATACGTAAAAAATATATCAATAATGTGTAATTTTCCAGTTTGTTGCATATTATTTTTATCATATTGAACATTATAAAGTTGTACAGCAAAAATGAACCTTCTACAATTAAAAATGGCGACACAATGACAATTTAAGTGATCAATCTAGTGCAAAAAAAGGTGAAATTTTTGCCTTTTTTGAAGCACAAGAAATACACATTAATACACATTTTCAAAATGGCCGCCGAATTGGTAATTTTTTTAAATTCTTGTAAAAAAAGTTCTACAAACAACAGGCATCTAGTTTTTTGACATATTTTTCGGATGCGTAATTGCTAATAAACTTGATCATAAGTTGTTAAATATTACAAAAACCCATTACACCAGATCAAAACGAGACTTGAACGTGATTGAAATCTCAGAAGAGTACATCTTAACTTGACATTACCTTATAATTAAGACTTCAATAATGTAAGCATGAAAAAGGGCTGAGTTCTATGCATTATGCACTGGTTTACCTCCTCCCATGGTCTGTACCATGGCAGGCTGTTACACTTACCTCCTCCCTTGGTCTGTACCATGGCAGGCTGTTACTCTTACCTCCCTCTTTGGTCTGAACCATGGCAGGCTGTTCCACTTACCTACTTCCTTGGTCTGTACCCTGTCAGGCTGTTATACTTACCTCCCTCTTTGGTCTGGACGATGGCAGGCTGTTAGACTTACCCCTTCCTTGGTCTGTACCATGGCAGACTGTTACACTTACCTCCTCCCTTGGTCTGTACCATGGCAGGCTGTTTCACTTACCTCCTCCCTTGGTCTGTACCATGGCAGGCTGTTACACTTACCTCCCTCTTTGGTCTGAACCATGGCAGGCTGTTACACTTACCTCCTTCCTTGGTCTGTACCATGTCAGGCTGTTATACTTACCTCCCTCTTTGGTCTGAACCATGGCAGGCTGTTACACTTACCCCTTCCTTGGTCTGTACCATGGCAGACTGTTACACTTACCTCCTCCCTTGGTCTGTACCATGGCAGGCTGTTACACTTACCTGCCTCTTTGGTCTGTACCATGGCAGGCTGTTACACTTACCCCTTCCTTGGTCTGTACCATGTCAGGCTGTTATACTTACCTCCTTCCTTGGTCTGTACCATGGCAGGCTGTTACACTTACATTATGTACCTCCCTCCTTGGTCTTTCCATGACTGTGACACTAACCTCCTTCTTTGGTCTGTTACAGGATTGGTTGGCTGTAAAACTTACCTCCCTTTAGCATGTAACAGCATTCATTGGCTGTAACCCTTACCCCTTACAAGGCCTGTTACAGGATTGGCTGGCTGTTACACTTACCTCCCTCTTTGGTCTGTACCAGGACAGGACTGCTGTAGGGGCCATGGAGGACCTTGGTATGGGAGCGGACAGACAGGTTGTACCAAGTAAACGTCTCCAGGTTATCCAGCACAACTCTCGGCTGCTCACTGTCAAAGTTCAAAAAATAAATTAACATGACCACCTTATAAGGTTATCAAGCACAATTCTTGGCTGCTCACTGTCAAAGTCCAAAAAGTAACAAAACTACTTTATCAGTCATTCATAGAATCTATATCAAGTGTCTATTTTACTATTTCAGAAATAAGGAAAAGTGCATCCAAAATTGGAATTTTACTAGCACAGTGTATCATAATGGTACAGTTTTTTTACCAAATGAATACTAGTACAGTTAAAATGACAAGAACTACTTTGCTGTGTTTGAAAAAGCTTATTTACTTTAAAATGTTATACATGTATGGATTAAGAACATTCTGAAGTAAACTTATGATTTGGGAATTTGAAGACAAAACTGCAAAGAAAGCCAATTTGAACCCAAAATAACTCTTCATGTGTGCCTAGATATAAATATTCTATATGAAATCATTAAATGTATATCATAATATCATAAACCCAGGGAAAATACAGATTTATTATAATTATCATAATTTCAAAGCAGATATATAATCGAAGTGTATAGCTATAATGAACTTTCGTTTTTATAACACAATTATTATGATTATCATTGAGTCTGGTGTAGAAGATATCAATTCTGTACCAGAAAACTGTCATTAAATTCAAAAATCTACAAATATCCTGCAAGGGGAGATAATCTGCTAATGATTAATAGCAAAATGGACATGATCTAATGATGATCAGCAAAGGGAGGTAATAGGCTAAACATCAGCAAAGAGAGATGTGCCCATATATTTAGGACTGGGAGGTAATCTATTATAGATGTCTAGCAAAGGTAGCAGTGTCAGTAGTGTCTTGTGTGACCAGTTTATTTCTATTTTATTCTGAATGTAGTAAGGTACTTTCGATATGAAGCAAAATTCAAAACAAAATATGCACGAAGTTTGGCATAATATATAATTTTGAAGACTGTGTGTTTCATATTTTTTGGAAAAAAATGTATTTGGTTAAAGATAACAAAGGATTTGGTCCTTCTTAAATCTGCGTCTGCATAACAATATTAATCAATTATAAATTATATATATGAGAATGTGTAGCTTGTGTCTTGTGCAGGATGAACTTTGCTATGACAGGTCACATACTGTTAGGATTAGACCATTTTTACAGAACACTGCTACCAAAGGAACGTAATCTACTAACATTACATACAGAAAGATAGTCCCTTGTCATGCCCAGCCAGGAAAGGAACTCAGCAAATTCTCAGCAAAGGGAGATAACTTTCTAGACTAATCTAACAAAGCAGAGGTGTGTTAACCTGCTCACCTCCTGACAGTGACCTTATGGCTATTGTTGGCGGTGCTGTACTGGATGGTGTAGAAGCTGATCTCCTGGGGAGTGTGAGGCGGACGCCAGGAGAAGGAGACCGTGCTGGAGGACAGGGGGTGGGGCTCAAGGTCTATGGGGGGAGGGGGCAGGGCTGGCATGTTTGGATTGTGTGTCTGAAACAGGAGAGTCACTAGTCCCACGACCTTATCGTCTGTACTCAGCACCATTAGGACGGCCTCATAGAACTTCTCAGGCTCTGCAAATACACAATGGATTTGAAGATACGGAAATTACACAATACTTTTCATCTCTGTTACATCTGAGCTAACATCCCTCCTTTTTCAAGAACCGTCAATGAGTTTTTCAAATAATTTTTTTTTTAAAAGTTTGCAATTAAAACCTTTTGAAAAATCCAATTGTATTGAAATTCTGTCAAAATACACAAGTATTTCCGTGTAAATTATCTGATTTACCCATCAATTATTTTACTGTTATTAACACTTTCACCCCTAAAATCACATTTGAACTCTTATGGTTGGAATAGATTACCAAGAAATGTTAGGGGTGGATTCATGGTAAACTTTCCACTGTCTGAATGGGAAAACTCAGATGAAACTTTTTTGAATTGCACAGGAAAAATATTGATCAATTTCGACAATCTATACCAGTAGCATGCATGACAGTTGAAAGGGAGCTATAATTCCGACAGAGTTTTCAACTAGTAATAATTGACCAAAGAATCGCCAAAATGTGATGCCTTAAGGATCTGCACACCAGGTGTTGCATAAATATATATATATTTGACCAGGAAGACTCCTTCAAGTGGTAAAAAGAGAAAACTATTAGCTCATTGACTCCTGAAATTCCATAATGAACTATTCCAACCTTTCAGTTGGAAGAGTTCAAATGCGTCTTCAGGGGTGTACTGTATGCGTTAATTATTTCTAATCTACGGATCATTAATCTTGGAAAATTAATAGCAATAGTCCTGGGATTTAGTGGTGCTTTTCCTAATATGATATTCATATGGCTGTGACATAAATAATGGTAAGAACCATTCAACCCCCGATGAAGAACGAAGCCCAAAAGCTTGGCCGTAGAGCGACTGTTGCTATATATTTTGTTATTTTCCCTGTTAGAACTTTGTGATAGACATGATATGGACATTTGTACCCACATAACAATAGTTGGATTTGATAAAGTACTTCACTAAACAAGAGGCCCATGGGCCTCAACGGTCACCTGATATATTTATACAGAGAGTTGATTTTGTTTTTAACATGAACAGAAATATTATTCAAAGTGACAAAAAACAATAAAACCACCTTATTCAATATCTAGCATACAGATTTCAGACTAAAAAGGATTTGAAACTAGCACCTCTGATTCTAAACAAGGAAAATGAAGAAATTTTAGCACACTGACTCC